TATTTTGCTTCTTCCAACTCATTTGTTTTCGCAATTTTTCATCTCCATTTGGATAGTTTTTGCGCCCATCCTCTCAAACAAAACACTATAGTTCCTACTGGGGCTGAAGCCCGGAAGTGTTGCCACAAATGGCTGAGCCACCCCACCACCAATGATCATACAGCGTAATACATTTGCTTGGCGTTCGCTGCTGCTTTTAGAGACTGTCTGCAAAACTCAGCGTAATGCTTTTCTAAACAGTTGCACGCCTGGACATCAAATGCGTTACTGCACTACATACTTCATGTGCCGATAAGCATGTTACACATATTATTTGCACAGAATTTGTGTTGCTTTGTTGACTCCAACGAAATCGTCCGGATCCTAAATCTAGACTATCCAATGACACTCACTTTTACTTTCGGCACTCTCCTACGCCCCGATCAGGCTACTATCGGCATACACTGTTTCGAATGAAATATTTCCTGATCTTCCAGAACGCAAGTAACATGCAAAAGTGTGGGGATCATAAAAGTATCCCAGTGTAAACGATAAATCATCGTTCTTCCAATTCAGAAATTAATTTGTAATTTTAAAATAAATGAAGAGTTTGGCAAAGATTAAGCACAACGAAATATATGCTTTTACAAATAAAAACGGATCCTTTTCCGATTTTTTTGCTGTTTCATAGTCAGCTTGGTAAACAGATTTAACACCTTTCCCCACATCACCATGCTGAGGGATGGGACACCAATTCTAATCGTTTAACTGCTCACAGGGGAAGCTGATTTCTTTTTAGTTTAACCTCCTAAAATTTTGTCATACTTTAGTGATTCTTCGTTAGGGCCGTAAATTACAAATAATGCGCATTTCGCATACACACCAAGCCGTTAGTGTTTTTGAAAACAAGATGAGCATTACTGTTTGAGGAATTCTTTGAGGTATGCCTGGAGGCAAAGAAACGTTGCAGTCCGCTGATGCAGCAGTATGGCTTCAAGTGGCCGGCTACGCTGAGCTGCGAGCAGCTGCCGCGGATCAGCGAACAGCAGACGACCGGCAATATCTGTGCTGCGCCACCGGATACACCTGATCCGAGTGTTCTGGATCCTGTTGAGGTAAGTGCCGTATGCCTGTTTTCCAGGCTAGGCAAACCAACGTGCTATCAAATTACTTGCTATGCTTTCTGTATCATTTCCAATGTGCCCGTTGCTACTCACTTGTAACCTAATACACGGAGGCAGAAGAAAAGTGTAACATTGTCTTACAAAAGAAATGCTGCGTTTTTGGCTGTCAACTGGGATTCATTATTGGAAAGACCAGAGATTATGGAGTGAGAAATACAGATATTCTAATAAAACGTAGCATAGGAGATTGCTGAAAATTCCCCCAAGAAGTAAGGGCACTTCCAGCAGTTTTATTGAAACACTTGGGCAATCTTTTTGACTAATTAGGACCTAACTGTATAAAATCATTGAAAATTTATCAGTATTTAAGAGATATAAATTAATCAGCAAGTCCTGTTGCTGCATCGTCGTGGTATTTGTTCTTTATAGTCAGTAGGTTTAGTATCATCTCCTATACACCGTTTTCTGATTTTGCATGTTATCCGTATGGATTGCAAGTAAGCGGCAACGTCCACAAAGGTTTAAAAAAAAA